ACCATGAACGACGGTGATTTCTACAAGGGCGATCAGCAGAAGAGGCTTTTTGAAAGCCTCAACATGGTTATGAAAGCAGGAGGTTGCAAAACCAATTTCACCGTCTACGACACCGAAGCTTACTTACACGACGGTCAGCCACTTCCAGAAGCAAATCCCAGCAGCCCACCACATGCCTGGGCGCTGTCAAGCAAGTTCGCCTCCGACTTCGCTTCCCCTTCTCTGGTGAGGGTTTCAAAGATGAAGATTGTATCTTGACATCTTCATATTATGATCCTGTTCATACGGACTGCGGGCGCCTAAACCCTAAACTGCCAGGTGAGCCACAGTCCATCCTTTCCATCCTCGCCGCCTGCACTTGTGCCAGCGACGCAAAGCCCTGCGCTGGAGGGCCCACAGGCGTTTTCTCCCCCTGAATTTATTTTCACTGTTGTACTTCGGGTTTAGGGTACTTTGGTTTGTGTTGTGATGCGCGAGGACGGACCAGCATCTTTGCACGGGGTGCTGCCTGTGCCGCCACTGCCACCGCCAGGCCCTGGGTCCGTCCCAGGTGGGCGGACTGCCTGTCCCAAGGCCTTACATGTTTATGTTTAGGCTTCAGGGTTTAGGGTTATGTATGCGAGGAATGTAGGCATCCGTGCAAACATCACGGGGGTATATGGGGGTTCCGAAGTTAAACGTTGTATTCTTTCTTCAGAAGGGGTCTAAATCGGCTGGGGGGGGCGCCCAAGTGCAAGATTAATTTGCATGAGTGAGTTTCGCAAAGCTACCCCTGAAGAACCCGAGATTCGACCCCCCACAACCCAGTTGTAATCTCATATATCGCCACTGGGAAGGTCAGGGGAACTTAGCAAGTCTGCTTTTACTCCTTCAATGATTAAGAAACCCGATCATCCTCATTATCAACCTACTATCTAAGTACCCCTGCCCCTAAACATCCCTAATCCATAAACCCTTAAGTCTCCCTGACCCCCCGGGTCCCTAAGGGCCGCTTCTTTTGAGAAAACCCCCATTCCTTGGATTGCTTGGGTCTCGCGCACATGCGAGTCACGCTTTTTTTGAGTGATCCTTCGGGTACTGCCCCCACCCAGTAGCAGTCCATCATAGGAGTAATATTAAGAGGTACATATTTACAATAATGTATATATAATATGAGACGATATACATTATGAATGCAATCCAACCCTTACTGGGTGGGGGCAGTACCTGAGTGATCCTTGTCGTTTTGTGGTGGACTTGTCCGCAGGTGCGGACAGCTACTGAAGATGCATCTGAGATTCAGGGCCTTTGACCTTTGACCCGGAACCCTCACCCCAAAGCAGGTGTACGTCTACGAGCTGAACGAAGCCCCATTCCAGGATGTGGAACTCGAGTCTTGCTGGTTGTTAGTAAGTAGAAAATGGAGGAACGAAAGTGAACGTGGAAATGATTGTTTGTACCATGTCCTCTAGGATTCAGAAATGGACTCTGTAGTGGCCCCAGTTTGCATATAGGGTACATTCTATAGTTCTGCAATATCTTGATCATTTTGGGAATACAAAACATTTCAAGACATGCAACTTACCTTACACATAAAACTGAGGCCCACCGCATCTGAAGAACACTTTTTTGGGGACCTCTTAGGGTTTAGGGCTTAGGGAATGCAACAGAAAATGGATGCCATATTATGATTTGTGGTTACTAGGGGCTACTACAGGGATCCATTCCTCCATCCTCAACAACCAGTAAGGACACCATCACTTTAGATGCTGCCTTTGGGAAGCGAACAAGATCGGACAAGGGGGTTCGAGCATCAGGTACGCTGCAATTTCACACCGCTCTAATATTCTGGTATCGGCTAGCCAAGTCTAGACGCTGCCGTGTCTTCAAGGGCGAAGATGCCGATCTCTTCTTCGTACCTCTGTTCCTTAAGGCCGCAGGCGCAGACAAATGGGGGCCAGCGTGCAAGGCGCTGGACGGGCAGGCTGAGGAATTGCTTAGGAGGTTGCCGTACCTGAATCCGCAGACATCGAAGCGGCACTTTGGTATCTTCCCGACTGGCCATTGGACCCTGGACACCTGCAAAGGTATTCTGGCTTGGCCCAAGGTGCCCTTTCAGGACCTTGCGCTGATTACTCACGAGGTGGGAGTCACTCAAAATGATCCCTGCAATATCCCTAAGCAGGACCGAGTCTCCGTATAATCTCAACATGTTTGCAGGGAAGGGTAGGGTATCCCTCTGTTGCACAGTCCCAGGTGGCCTTTACGGCAGAGAAGCTGCAGCAGTACCCCATGCTTGTCACCCAGAACCGTATCTCGTTGCCTGCGGCAACTCCAGGGGAGTGGCCAAACACCCATATGCACATGTGGGATCGGAAGATCCATCCTCGCGTGTATACCACACCATATCCGTCCTCGCTCACAGCCGTGAGGGTTGGCAAGAATCCCCGGCAGACGCTTGTTTCCTTCATCGGCAATACCAACCATGGTGACGTGCCGGTACGCTCCCAGATAGGTCGATGGTGCGAGCAGTACCAGAACCACAAGCTCGTATGCTCACGCCCGGTTCACATGGAAGAAGTGATCAGACTGAAGGAGGAGGCGGTCTTTTGCTTGGAGCCAGTCGGTGATTCTGTGGGCAGGAAATCGGTCTCCGATTCCTACGGGTGTGGCTGCATCCCAGTGTTCTTCGGGCCAGCTCAGGCATTCCAGTACCCTATCCAGTGGGCTGGCTGGTATGACGCTGCGTTTGTGATCCTGGACCGGCTACTCTTCATCAATGGCACGCTGGACCCCGTGGAGGTCTTAAGCCGAATTCCCTCTCAGCAGGTACAGCAAATCCAAAGCAACATTGCACGACATGGCAGCAAAATGCTGTACAGCACGGATGACTTCGAGGCTTGGGCGCGTCTTCGGATGCGTTCGGTGTCCAAGAATTTAGTGGGGTTCGCCGCACCTCGTGCAGGGTCTGTGCACTGTGCCTCTCAATTCTTGTTTTTCACATACACACTATACTGGGATCTATAGTGGGATTTCCTTTTTCCGGAAACTACCACATGTCAGGCTGTAGATGCTCTTTCGGTGTTACTGCACCAGCTTTGGTCTGATGCCCTCGCCATGGAAGGCGTTGGGAGGGTTCTGCGGGTCAGGGTTTAGAGTTGATGTAGGGTTTAGGGTTGGGTGGGGAGATTTAGGGTTTTGGGTTTAGGGTGGCTTGCTCATTTTTATTAGGTGCTCAACCTTGCCTACCTTCCACAGCTTCGCACACTTTTGCACTGCGTGGGCTTTGTGCAAAATTAGGTTTAGGGTTCCGGGTCGGGGTATAGGGTTTTCGAATATAGGCAACAGCAATGCAATACGGGTTGTCTGCCGTAGTGTCCTAAAGTCAGCCTAGACCCTAAACCCCATGCGATGATGCAAGTTCGCTTGGGAATAATGTGCAAAGTAGCCGCGGTTTAGGGTTTAGGGTTTAGGGCTTCTACCAACCCTCTCCCCTTTACAAATGCTCTCAATGTGGTACCAACCAAAATGGGGATTATTTGTCATAGTTGGGTGGGGCAGTTTGGTTCGTATTTAGGATTTGTAGCCTGATGCCCAAACCCTTCGTAGGTGGAGAGGATCACAGTTTTAAAGAGATTCGCTGGAGGCCCAATCCAATGAAGGTGGCCGTCAGCTGCAGGTGCCACGATCCTGGGCTCCCGTTATGGAACTTAAATTAGGTTTTCGGAGTCTGGGATGTAGGCTTCAGGGAAATGGAGATTTCCGCAAAATTAGCGGCACCAGTTTCGGGATCCCAATACTAAGGATTGTGGGTCCACACTGGGGTCCCCTTACTTATTTATGGAAACTACCAAACTAAGTTCTCACATTGTGGGATATACCGTCACTGGAAGGGTTTCATCGTAACGTTAACTGCATTTCAAGTCCTTACTGCCCCACTTAACCCTCATACTTTCCGGTTTCATTTCACTTGCATGTTTGTTTCCATTTGATTCTCTCTCACCCTAAACGAGCCTAAATCCAATATTCTATTGACTTGAGCTCAGGATTCCCTACACCCTAAACCCTACACTCTAAACCCTAAACCTGAAGCTCAGGATTGCAGGCCAATGAGCCTGACAAGAGCGGAGAGAAAACAAGGCAAAGAGTGTGTCGCCGCACGTCGAAGTTTCTTTGCTGGCCGCGTTCCTGCCACACATATCCTGTGCGGTTTAGGGTTTAGGGTAAGGCAGCATTAGACAGACAGGGATTGTAACGGAAAATGCGGTTCCTGAAGACAAGTCGTGCTTTTGAATTGCGTGGCTTGGACGTGGTAAACTCCTGCCTAGGACATGAGCTTGTTCTACGACTCCTTCTTTCCAAACTTTTCACTAAACTTCATGCATCCAAAATAGGGGACCCCAATCTAGACCCCAATGCATTACATTCCTTATCATGGCGACCCTTACGTGCGTTAGATTCCTATATGCGTCTGCATTCATATAACAGGTTAAAGAGTTTTCTGGAGGGTTCGTAGAGGGTTTATAAAGGTCTCATAGAGTGTTATCGGGAGCTTATAAACATACTCCCCTGTGGTCCTGGAGTCCTTGGGTCCTCTGGTCTGGGTCCTGAGGGGTTATAGATATGGCTTATCCGCAGACGATATGGTCCACTGATGTTGCCTATCTATCCATGGAGTCCGTAGGGCCGTAGGGTCCCGAATTGATAAACCCTGAGCCCTCAAACTGAAAAAACTGCACATGACGACCAAAAACACGGCTCGGAGTAGAGTGCATGGACTCCTGTACTTCGTAGGTTATTTTAGGTTATTTGACTTGCAGTGGACACAACCTGTCATGCAAGTGTAGTTTCTGAGGAGAAACACAGTTGTTTTTCCCTTCCTGCGCGTGTGCAAACTTTTCTTCAGGCTTTACTTCATGTTTGCTTGCTTGTTGACCAGGCCGCTTCTATCGCTGAATTGAATGCTCCGACGTACGCATCAGGCAGACAGTAAAAGGACAATGCTGAAGCTGGATGTCACAATGCTTACATTATACATGAATGCATGCATGCGTAAATGCTATTACCCGTCACACACCTGCGCACACGAAAGCGGTTTCTCGATGTAATTGATGAAAGCGGGGCGAGTCCCTATATCGCCTGCTGTTATTTTGGAAGCACTAGTCAAGGCAAACTTCCACATGGTTTTCTTTCAGTCTTTCAGCAGATGGCTCGACATCCCTCCACACAGTCGAGATGATGCTCCTGCGCCGTTTTGCTTTAGCAGCAGCATGGGCAAGCGTAGTGAGCGTGTTCACCATTGGGTGGTTCCTACACAAGCGCCACAATACTGTGCAAGTTGTGCGTGGGATGCCGGATCAGAATCTGTGCATTGCAAGGACTGGCTGTCCGGCATGCCCTCCTCATGAGTATTTCAGAAAGTCGGCACCCCCAGACGTAGTGCGAATGAGCAGATTTGGCGATAGTTGTTATCCCGTATTTATTGGTCTTGACAGTAATTAATACGTGCATTCACGGTGGTATCCTCTTCTTCGAGCCAGAGCTGTACACCAACTTGACAGCAGAAATGTACAGTACATATATAGACAAGGATAGCAAGTACATGCCGATCTGCGTTTTTGGGTTTGAACCGAGCCGCAGCATGAAGCTGTGCAGAGGGCGCAGGAAGCAGGGTACAATGGCATGGGATGGCGATACAAATTCATGCCATTTCTTGTGAGTGATGCTGTCGGCGATGGATTTTACTACAAGAACCGGGGGGTAAGGAGAACGCGTCTTGGAGATCTCCCACCAAGATTCATGAATTTGCTGAAGACTCCACAGACGTTCCCGTTAAACGGCGAGTCATTGATTTTCTTGCATGGTTTGACAAGCATATCCTAAGGCGCAAGCTGCCAGACGCCCATAGCTCAACAAGTCCACCAAAAAATCCTTCTGAAGCTCACTGGTTATTAGCAGGGAAGAAGCCATAAATAAACTCTACATGTTGATTTCCCTCTTTCTTTTCAAATCCCTTTTAATGATCCCGTCGTAAGAAAGATGGAAATACAAGGCTGCGAGCTTCCGGTACTGAAGAAGATGATGATCAGTGGTGAGGCGTGCAAATGGGACAGTACTGTTCTGGGGGTACACCTGCAGGGCATCACCGTCAGCAATGGCAGCAGCGGCTTTTGTGTGAGAGCCTCAACGTGGTCATGCAAGCAAAAGGCTGCAAAGCTAACATTACTAGTTTCAACTTGTCTGAGACGCATTTGCATGATGGTAAACCGCTGCCACAGACAGATCCCAACTGTCCGCCAAGAGCCTGGACACTCTCAGACAAGCTGGCCTCCGACTACGTGTCCCCTTCTCGGCGGGGTCTCCAAAAATAGGGATCCTCCCTGCATACAGTATCTCTAAAATGTAACGCAACTTCCTCAATCTATTAATCAGGACCCCCTAACCCTAAACCTTGTCTTTTGTCAGCCAGGCTCTTTCTTCGCAGCTTCTGCAAGGCCCTGCGCTAGACGGGCCAGAGGCTGCTATGATGGGCTCAGAGTTCAGAGTTTAGGATTTAGGTTTTAGGCGTTCAGGGTTTAGGATTTTGGGTTTAGGGTTTACGGATGGATTTACATAGGGCCTCGGGTTCAAGGTTTAAGGGTACCCTCATTGAGATGTTTGTTTCCGGTGCCTTCCAGGAGGACTTGCCCGAATCGTTGCTAGGGGTGCTGCCTTTGCCACCACTGCCGCCACCATGCCAAGAACGTGTCCAAGGTAGTCCAACACACTGCCCCAAGGCAGGCTTTAGCGTTCAGGGTTTAGGGTTCAGGTAATTACCCTAAATTGAGAATCAGGTGGACAAGACGACCGGCAATGAAATGGCACCTGCGATTACGCAGGGGTTTAAGTTAGTGGAGAACCACATGGAGCAGAAAACATCAAAATGAAATGGAAACTGGCGCTCTGTGGGGGTGATAGGGATTGTGAGTGTAGAGCCTATTGCATGGTTACCAACAACATTCCATTGTAGACCTGCTATAAGACACTACCCCAAGTCCCTAGTTTAGTTGTTTACCGACTTTTAAAAATGCGAGGGATTATTGATCCCAGGTTTTGTCGCGCTGCGCCCTGAATCCTAAACCCCAGACCCTAAAATCCTTGCAACAATTGTTGCAGACCTGCCTTTCCTTACTGGAGGTTAGAAGGGAAAAGGGAATGTGCTATATTATGGGGCTTATATAGGGATTGATTATTTCGGCCCTGGCGGCACTGGTCGGCCTGGCCGTCGCCCTTCCAAAACCCTGCCAGCATGTGAAAACCAAGCCCACCCCGGCCTTGCTGATGCTCCTGATCGGGAGAAATGCACCGAAAAAAGTTATTCTTGTCATCCGTTTTTTTTTTTGTTTGGTTTGGAAGTTCTTGTTCTCTCCAGCTTACTCAAAACACCTAAAATGGGGTCCCAATTGTGCTGATGATGTTCCTGTACAAGGCGTGCGCGCCTCGTACAGAAGCATCACCAGAGCAATTGGGACCCCATTTTGGCTTGAGTGAGACCAGGAGGGGTCAAAAACCCAAGAAAAGCCATCAAAAACGTCATTGAACACGGTTCTCTTCGCAGGCTAACCATGTTCTCGTCCACAAGCACATCTTTTTCAAATAAAAAGCAACATCTAAACGCATTTGATAAGCATAAAGGGAGGCAAAAAACCTAGCTCAGGAGTCACAAGAATTCTATAGAATGCTGGAAATACGCGCAAAACACCACAAAAAAACAACGCAATATGCACTGTTTGTAGGGTTTGGCCTGGGCAATGCAGGCCAAGCCTTTCTCATGCTTGTCATGCAGTGCAGGTGCTACCAAGACTGGTATTTACAGGGACAAACACTGCCCACATCACGTATTTTGAGCACTTTGTTGGGGTTTATCACGCATTTTGAGGTCCCAGCATCATGAGCATCATGGGGCCTGTTTGGGGCCCCAACTTCCTTCTTGACACCATACATATGAGGCTTCAAGACCCCTCCAAAACCCTAAGTATGTTGAGAAACGAAGGCCCAATTGTGCTGATGATGCTGGCCCAAACAAACATCCCCAAAACCTGGATCGTTCAAAAAACCGTAAGCCCTAAACTACTCAACAACAACTACACTAGGAGTTCGGTTTTGGGGTTGCCCGTTTCGGAGCTTCCGACAATGCCGCTCAGGTCTCAAGTTATGTCTTTTTGCCTGGGTTTTCGGATTACAAAGGTGTCCTGATTTGTACCAGTGCTCTTTAGATCATACATTTATTACAGTTAGTTTTATCACATTATGCTATACTGGCTATACTATACTATATCATATTTATTTATACGGGCTTCAAAGGGTTTTCAGCTATACTATACTGTAGTATATTCTGTATAAGGGCGGGGTTTTCATTATTTTATATACACGTAGACTTCGGCAGTACAGCAGGGGCCGTCGAGCTTGCTGTTTGTACAGGGCCCTAAGGAAAGCTAGGTTTAGGGCTTAGGGTTTAGGGTCTTGTTTTGGTCGCCCCTCTTCGCTTGTTCATTTGCAATTCGGCGCTCCTTTTCAGCAGATGGCTTTCTGGCGTGGTGTGCTCTATGGTATGTTGATGGGCAGTCTTCTGACGACAAGCTTCTTGCACTCAGCAATGACTTCATTCTATTCGTGCTCTT